TCCGCATGAGTTTCAATTGTTAACGATATTTGACATTATAGGTTCTACTTGAAAGAAGACCAAAATTGGTAGACGGTTCCTTCAAAACGAGTTGTGGAGACCTTCAAGAAGGCACCCTCGTTCACAATTTATCTTAGACGTCCCATTTGGGAATCTCGCAGTTTACCCGACGGATGATTAGATACACTGAGTGATGTAAATGAATGCTATAAGAATTACGGTTCATGCTTTTATTCACTTAAGATGCATATCTGGTTTACCAACAATGTGATTCCTAACCTCGTTTACTCCCCTCAGTTCTTCCTTTTGTTTTATTTTCCTCGAAACCGGCGGATAAGATGGTTAGACAAAAGATAGCCACAAAATCTAGGTATTTTACCAGGTTATGGGTTGTGTAAACTAAAAATTGACCTTATCTAAACAAATGAACTGTATTGATAGTGGTAAAAGTCAATGCTCTAGCATTCGAGAAATGTTTGAAGGTTTTCCCTTGGATCACAGAAGTTCATTTTTTAATTTATTACTCTACGAAAACTGTTCATTTTTAAGCCCTCAAATGATATCAATTAGTCAACCAGGCTTCAGGGATTCTATAATTTAGAAAAGAGTTTATACAGCATTGTTTGTCGTGCTTGGCAATCAAAATCGTGTTGTTTGCTAAACAAAACAGGATGAATTTAGTTAAGTAGGCAAATGCTCAGATATCCGAACCTCTGCATTATTGTCTATCTTCTCTCCTCAATACGCTACCGCTTTCCTACATTATACCTTGTGATAGCTCTTCGGATAATTGGTTTCTTATTTATCAATGATGGTAGCCGAATAGCGTTAGACGTAATAAAACAAAATTATTAGAACAATTGATGATTTGATTTGTTTACATGATGAACTTGTCGTGTTAATGAGGCGTGAGCTGAAAAGCTGGGAAGCACTGGACGGCTGTTTCGACCTGGTTAGGTCTNAGAACAGAAGCATATTGCTCACTCGACCACCGAGCAGATGATCAGACTGGCCACTGCTTCCCAGCTTTTCAGCTCATGCCTCATTTACACGACAAATTCATCATATAAAACGGAATGAATTGCACATTTCGAAACCTCGTTTATCTTCAGCTTATTGAAGCCGAAGAAATTAGATTCCAGTCAAACTATGAAAAACTGAACGGAGACACTCCCATTGCGAGTTGGGGTTTAAAATACTTTGTGACCAGATTGTCAGAGAAACTGAAGAAAATGCCAGAAAATCTACAGCTGTGGCCTTCTTTCTGGTTCGCATTAAACTTGTATTTAATTAGGACTGATTGTGAGGTAGACAGGAGTGAACCGGGCTTACTTCACTTTTTCTGTTGTGCGATAATGATTAGTATAAAATAACCACAGTCATCCTATTCCGCCTATTGGGCTATTACTGTATCAAACATTTAGAATTAGGCCAGTCGGCATTTTGGGGCAATAATGACTGGAAATCATGTGAACTTCAAGGGAAAATACTACTATTACACAAGGACTAAAACCCAGTTATCGTGTTTCACTTAACGAGGGAACTCATTACTATTGTTATAAGTCCACAAGGCGGTACGCAGTGGAGGACGGTTCTATATTATTGATTACATTTGGGATAACATTGATTTGCATACATAACACAAAAACCCCATCTGAAGCATACCATCGCAGTTCTTGGCAGCACATCGGGTAATGAATGTACCAGTCGGTAGTTACTTCTCTGACACCGAGCAGCTTGCCCTCGGTGATCTTGTTAATTTTTGATCGCCGAAGGAAATCACCAACTATTTTGCATATTACTCGCATATGTCAGTAGTTCCTCACAACACCATTATTCGCAGACTAAGTCAAGATAACGTTACTTGTATGGCAAATATGAAAGATATCGACTAAAGACCGAGAGCGAAAATAATTTTAACGGATCTTTCGAACACTGCACCGACTGGGTCAAGCCAGAGACCATAGTCAATTAGCGTGCCGTGGTGCAGACAATGCATCACATAAAATAATAATAAAATACTTAAGGAAACATGAAAGTAAAAGCAATAAAACGCAAAAGGTCAAAGGTATACGCTTGTTTGAAACAAATAATGCCCAACGGCGTTATTTTTCAGTAATGTAAAGAAAACAAGTGAATCACGACAACTCACTATCTATATTTGGAAAATACTTAAAACAAATTCTCTGTCACCCTTTCTAGAGTTTATAACATGAGATGGTTTTTCTTCAAGAGGTGAATTAACTCAGCCGTTTTTTGTTTATCAAACCTATGAGGTTTTTGCTTTGAATTATCGTTATCCTTAATTTTAGAATTGCTGTTTACTGCGTAAATTAATTTTTTTTCTACATTTCTCCGGAACCAGAACGTCTTGCCTCTTGATTTTCAAAGGTAAAACAACTCATGCATAGCTTTTTAATAATTTGGCAATTGCATTTATCGATTGGAACAGGCAATGTCAAAACGGTGCAAAAATAAAAATCCGGGTGGAGGAAAATGAGCATTAGCAACCCAACCATTACTTCGAGGTTTAGCTTATCAACCCCTCACTTCAGTGAAAGTACCCCTATCATATGGTCCTTGTGATTGTGACTTTTACCGGGGGAGCGGTGAAGCTGGATCACTGAGAATCACATTATGATCGAATCGGCGAACGATGAAACTAATGTGCCGGGGGTTTGCCTTCTAATGTGAGCATTGTGAATTCGTCGTGCTCAGACTGACATTGTATTGTAGTTGTTCATCGGTTCCTTTTTATCTGCCGGTCTCTTTACAGAACTATTTCAAAAACCAACTATGGTTTTGGGGCATTTATTAGGCGATTTATTATTAACTGCTTCAGTTTACTCTTCCAATAATTAAAAACGAAAATCTAAGCATGATATGTAATAATTCGGAAAGACACCCTTCAACAATTGAATCACTCAGCAACTAGCTTTCCGTTTTATTTCCAGACTTAAAACTCATTTGTTGAAAACGAAGATCACATTTGTGATCGAAATCGCCTAAATGGCAATTATTTCCAACTAGTGAATGCTTATGATATTCGTAGCAAATGATACTGTGGCTACTAATGAGTAGTACAATTATATTTCTAATTTTGGGGTTACCTTAGTGAGATGGAAATAAAGCATCATGTTACATTAGAAGTAGAGTATACGAAAGGAATTCCTCTCGCAGTGTTTGTCTTCTAATTTGCCTGTTCAAATTCATTATGGGATCCAAATGTTTCAGTTTTCTGAACAGAAGACTCCCACCAGGCGCTGGATCGCCTGTTGAAATTACGTAACATTTTTATATTTTACCAGTTAAGAAAAATATCCTTCTCTTGATCAGGAATAAAACTTCTGCAGGTTACGGCACATTATTTCTTAGTATTTCAAACGTTGAGTTCACTGTATCCACTTCATCAATACCGAAAGAGGGTAAATATGGTGGCATTTGTCTCGCTTCATGATAAGTACTGGTCACTCTTGCAATTGCGTCATTTGTGGTTTATCGGGTCTTATTTCAGCACCACTTAAAAGTAGTTTTGTGTACCCCAACAACCTTGTTCGGTGAGTTTATTCCTGTTATCGTAACGAAAGATACTCCGTCTATCATATGTTGTATTATGTCATGCTAGGATGGATCCCGTTTTCCCTTAAAACAGCAAATTAATTTCATCGGAACACTTGGCCCAGCAACGAAGAATTCCATCCGATAGCATTGCGCAAAATATCTTATAACTGTACTAATCGATAGGGATCAACTATTTTCGTCAATGTGCGATCAATATGGTCTAGAATTATGCATCTAACCTCGGAAATGTTTGTTTTACGTAGAGGCATGAAGAAGCTAGCTTCAGCTTTGGCTTCGGTTGGTGCAACCCACCTTCCACGTTGGGGCCCAATGGAAGAGGATTGTCGTTAGCTAGAGAAGCTAAGAAATATGGTATAGAATAAAATTCAGCGGTATGAATGCTGTACGGTCTGCCTGTTGAAATCCCATGCCCCCGTAAAAACAAAAAACAACCCAAAAATATCAAAAAGATGTAGGGTGAAACACAAGAAATTGTTATTCCATATATTCGTAATCTTCGAATCTAACAGTTACGTCTTTTTGCCTATACTCTGTATCCCAACCCCCTCCGGTTATTGTTATTGTTGATATTGTCGTGCTTGTTCTCAACCCGGTGTACAATATATATATATAGTGTTTGTTCGGTTACTCCCGTCCACCTCCTGGACTTGCGCAATAGCGTGTAAACAGCTTTGTTCGAAAGCCGATCGGCCTCATATAATGGTTATATCTAGCCACCATTGATCGGAAAGCAACCCATCGAAACATACACAACTAAACAGTCTTGTTGTTGCTTTTGTTCTTCCCTTTCTTGTACCTGCTGCGGATTCACTGCACCCCAACTCTCATAGTTTTTCTCAATCTCTCTCTCTCTCTCTTATTGATTTGCTATCAGGCATGCTCTCAGTAAATGATTCCTCCTTTTTACCATCATCTGTTTCTGTTCTGTCAGTTCAGGAAGCGAAAAATCGGTATGCAGTACGACGTATAATGCTCATATTTCCGGATTAACAGGTCCCTGTGGATGGTAGCACAACTTCATCTATCGTTAAAAATGATCATTTCAGTCGGGAGGTCTATTGTTTGGTGCGATTAACTATCCCGTAGAATATTATTCATCCATGGTCTCTTTGGTGAACCGCCTAGAAATCATGTATACAATTCTAAGTGAAGCCACTGACTGACACTAAGCTCTGCTGTAAGACCTGCTTTGTGGATAAACCGGTAAATACATGGTACGGATTCACTGTAATCGATTTTGCCAAAAATATTAATCATAAAATCTACGAGGTATTCAAAGCTGCTACATTCTTACTTTTTTTCTAATGAGTTCCCCACTTGTTCTTTTTTATATTTTATAGCACCTCAACAAGTGTGATCTAAATTGTAGAGCATTAAGTTTACCGATTTATATATTCTTCTTTCTCTTCATCACACAGAATCTAGCGGATCAGACCAGTCGGGATAGCACTGTCAATTGTCATTCTCCGCCCGGATCGATGAATGAAAGTTGGTCGTCCAGTTTGATGACAACTGAATCTATTGCCAGTGATGAACAACTGACCGAACGAGCTAAACATCTCAAACTGTACAGTTTTCCACATTTGCTTCAGACCACCAAATCATCGATTGAGAAAGAGGCAGACAAACTGGCTAGTCGAATCAGGCAGTTGAGTGGTCGACGCAATTTCGCCAGATTAGAACGTGAACGTGTTCGTGTCAAGCGGGAAATTCTCGAGGACTCATTAACAAGTAGAAGAATCAAGGGTGAGAGATAAATAATCAGGAGTTCACTCATATTAGTTGGATCGAGGTTAAAAGCAACTGACATCAAACTAACCCGAGGACAGTGATAGTTTTGCACATGATAATTAGAAACTATTCTTCCCTTCAAAATATTGTGTGTTCGAAAATCTGCCTTCACACACACACACACACAAACTTTGATTTGAACTGATGGTCACTCCTGATTCCGCCCGCTTTTGTTTCGTTTTCTCCGTTCCCCGTATGTGTTTTCTATGCCAAGTGCGACTCAGATTTGATCCCGTGCTGTTATCGATCCAATGTCGCTTCCGTTCGGTCAATCGCAGTGCATTCGTATTTGGATGGCATGACGTTGTCTGGGCGGTCTCCGATTGAGCTTTAGGGTTTACTGCTAAAAATATATCATTCACGGTTCATTACTGCTTTTGGGGTTACTGAATAAAATGTTAATATCAACCCCTGATTTGAGGTCCAACGAGGCGAGATATGCAGAGTACCTCGTACGTTACAACAATAAGTAATACTAATTTAAATTTAAATGAGCGATTGAGAATTCAAAGCACTACATGCTACTCAGGAAATAACTCCTTGTCACACTTTAATCTGCAAGTGCTCGCTGTCCACGATTAACTGTGCACAGCAAGCTGAAAACTTCTGTGACTATAATTCGTTTTAAAGACAACAGAGAACCCTGGAACTCTGGGTTGAAACAGAACGGTTTCTCTTGATATTATTCTGTATTTGTATTAGTATAACTTATCTTATTGTATATGGTGATATTTCAGTTAAAAGTATACTGCGACGCTTTCGAAAAGGGCACGTTTTAAGCCAAAAACTGTTCATCAGTTGAAGTAAACTAAGTCAAGAGTTAAAGAAAACACTAATCATATTTAGAAATTCATCGAACGCTCCAGGCAAGTAATCTCATTGATGCTTTTACTGAATAAAGGATAGGCTATGACTGACAACGCTTCATTCGTCCCGCCGGCAGATAACAAGATGATCCCCATGGGAACCGTCTTCTGCCAGTCGTCTATTCTTTAATGGCATATACGTTTTATGAAATATCCTATTTGTTTCGAATTTGGACAAGATATCGAAACTGACATAGAAAATGTTCTCTCGTGGCGCTTCCGTTACCTGTCGCGAAATCATGCTTCAACTCTCCAGTCGTTGGCCTCCCCAAATCGGAAGCCACCAAGATCAGCCCAAAAGTTGTATTCAAATACATGCAACTGTACCACCTTCCAAGGTCAAATTTGCGTATCATATGTGCATTACTTGACCATGAGAATTCTAGAAAATGTGCACTATAACAGACATCAGATCGTTCCATGGAAGAGGTAACTAATAAGGCTAAGCATGTTTGGTGGAATCGCTTAGCTATTAGCACAGTCCAGCACATTCCACGAATTCCTTGGACTTTTCGACGTTTTCTTATTGGTTGAATTCGATTTCTCATAGAAATAGGCCGATTTTCAGGAAGACTTTTGCCTTCTTGTCAGGATTGACTGGGTATTTCCTACTCACTGTCATCCCGCGGTTATCATGTTTTGACTGAAGTGAGATCACAAATGTGTCGGAACCGTTCGTTTAATCGCAAACAGTTAGCTGAACTGGAGAACACACATCGAAAAACTCACATAGAGAGTCATATCATCGGATTCTAGTTCGGCATAGAGGTGATTACCGTGCTTAATGGGTGATGGGATAAGTTGATCCCCTAAGATATGTAAATGGCATTTTGACTAGACAACATGGATCGCATACAGTCCTGATGCTCTGAATATCAGACTTTGGCCAGCCGAAGGCTCGGTGTAAGGAAACCCAAGAAAACAGTCTGCCTGGACTTGGTTTGGGCAATCTGTAAATAATACACCCCCCTGAATAAATCAAACATCAATAACCGTGTTTTCGCACACAGTCCGAACCCAGACAAGCTTTGTAACATGCTATAACTGACAACTGTTCTGATGTGGATCTGATGTCTATCGACCGCCAAAGTTGGCATACTTTTAGAACGATCGAATGTGTGTGTATAAGAAGGAAGGGAATGCGATATACATCGGTGGTGATTTTCTGTTCGCCAGGTTGGGCACTGTATTTAGACTAAGCTTTCACATAACATAAAACAATAACTGTATTATCAGTTTCAAATAGACCGTACAGAGAGTGAGGCTGTTCGGAATAAGAGAGAGGTAATTATATGGAGATAAACTGAACGCCATTCCTTCATTTCTCATTTGCCGACCACAGACCTTGTAGAGAAACGGGTACGAGAGCAGAAAGACACTCAATCAGCCGATCACATTGGCATATCGGTTGAGAAATCTGACGCTCCTGTGACCGAATCGACTTCCACCGCAATAACTCCGAAAAGTTCAGTTATGGTTGAGGACGCTGGTGGATGTGGTGAGTATCAAGAGGAATTAAGCATGAGTAATTCCTCGACTGATGATGAAGATAGCGAATCATCCGAGTAAGTGTATCAGTTTGATTTTCTTCTTCTTCGTTCTGTTTATTACATTCTCTTATATGCGGATTCCATTTCTGGTTGAATCTTAAGTGACCGGATGTGTTTCTGTCTCTGGATATAACTTAAGACCCACCTCACATTGAAAATAGGAATATTTATATGACTCAATTAAAATAATCGAAGAGTCCTCTCTCTCATGCACTCTCTATAAACAAGGTATATCGTAACATCGATTGTTTCAAAACAGCGACCAAGAATGATCTCGTATCGGGCGACCGATTCGTACTTCGGAGGTCCGTCATCAGTGTAGGATAGCCAAAAGAGGCAAGTCAAAAAAATGCTGTTAATTTCGCAATAATACGTTTCAAAATTATCCTTAGATGTCCGCAAATCTTTTGCTCATGGCGAATAAGTGCGTCCAATGAGCCTCGGCTCAGGGGAATCGAATGATTTTTAATACAATGAACGTATTTAAGAATCCAAACTTGTAGAAATCACACGAACTGTGTCAGATGGAGCATGATGAAACCAAGATTTAAGACTGTGAACAGACAGGTGAGCATAAAATTGCGGAAATAGAGAGAGAGAGGAAAAGAGCTGAGCGTGGAACTACTAGAGTCAGGTCGTTTTCTTCGTTTCATACAATTTTGAGTCTTTATTATTTTATGCATGCGAGATTTCTTTGACATGTGAGGGAAGGAATAATGAACGGATTCAGAGCAGCTTCACTACCGCATGAGGATGATCAGAAACAATCTCTTCTTTGTGACAATGATTGACCACAAAGCTACCTCGTTTATGATTGAGCCTAAAATTTGTCATCTCTCTTTAGAATATAAGAGCGGGGGGTAAGTCAGGCAGGGGTGTCGAACTTGTCAGGCCCCAATAGCCAAATTATTCCCCTGGATTTCTTTGCATTTAACTCATGGTTATATGAATATGGACGGGCCATCGTTCAAACTTCATTTCCATACACACACACACAATCCTCATTTATTCTAGTCAACCATACGGCCGGGAAGAACTAGACCAGTGTTTAGCTCTTCTTAATTTTCGTCGGTAGTGCATATCTACCGTCCCGTCCGAACTTCGCACTCCACACCCATCGTGTGGAAGGTGTGTGTTACCACTATGCTAACCTGAGCTGACCAGAATTACTAATTCATGCTCACTTAGATTTGGTGGTAGCCCGCCGGTAACATCATCAAATTATCACCCCGGGGGACATGCTTGAATCTCAACACTGCCACCTGACTTCTCCCATTGTGTGTGTTGTATGGCAGCTCTTTGATTGGCCTCCTCCCGCTTCCTGAGAATTGTATCTTTGTATATTCAATGAAGGAAGTAAAAATGAAAAAATGATGGTCAGTCAGTTACTTGGACGCGATAGCAATGAAAAGAGACACAGCTGACTACTTGTTAACATCATTTGTAAGCCTTCCACCAAATCAGGAATTCACTACTAACAAGTAACTTTCCGTTCAATGTAAATTTAATTGCTGCTTAGTAGGTTTGTGGTAGAGTTTTTCGAACATGTATGAAAGTCCTGACAACGAAGGAATGACGACAGTGAATTAACGATATCAAAATCAAGTCTCCGCGAATTGGACAGTATTGGGTGGAATATAACCCTAATGATTTTAATCTCTCCAAGTAGGCATATTATTACATTCTCTGGACCATCTTGGCGGCTATTCTTTAGGGTCATTCCAGCATGGCTACAGATTCGAAGGGTGTACTCTGTGAGCAGTTAAATATGGGTACAGCGTTCCCTGGAGCCGACCCAAGATACGCCTAAGGGAACCGAGGTTTGTCACAAGTGCTAACGAATCCTTAGTGCAATTGATCGAGCAGTCTAGGTCTTCTTGAAAAATTTCATCTAGGTCTTTCTCACCAGAGACATGTGGCATTTATTGACTTCCGAGGAAATACGGGCATCGAGCCCTGTGTCACAGTGATTGGACTCCCCACTTGAAAACAATAAATGCAATGTCTTCTTCAAGAGAGCTGTGTCAAGTATCTTCTGGACCGCTAACTGTATCTTAGGTTGTTGTTGTTGTTGTAGTCCAGATTTCGGTTTTATCTGCAAACAGTATTGCTCTGGTCCCTATAACATTCAATAGATCATTTATGGATGTGAGGAAAATTCGGAGACCAGGCACAGATCTTTGCGGAACTCCACGAACCAGAAATACCACCCACAGCGGTCCAATTGTGATCCATACCTTGAGTATCATTACCATAAAGCCAATAAAGCAGTTTTTAATGGCTCATCCGATAGAATGCTTTCCGAAATTTCAGACTGCCCACGTACACCGCGTCTATTTCGTCGACTGCCCTAACCTATTCATCGCAGGGAAGAAGCGAGTTGAGTGCACAAGATAGTTTTTACCAGAACCCATATTTAAGTGGTGAAAGCACGTTACAATTTTCTAACTATTCTGATCTTACAAACTCGATTCCATGATTTCGGACAACACTGTAGTTACTGGGCTCAATAAAATAGTGGTTTTTGTAAATGAATGAAATAGTGCCTTATTTCCATGACTGCGGGAGTGCCGTGTGGTCGAGCATCATCCCGTTGAACTAATTCGGCTATTGATTCAGCCATCTGATTCACCAAACAGATAAGTCCTTGGGAATGTATATTATTACGCACCTATGGATGAATTGTTTCTCAAAATGGATAGTTTCGCCTTGACAAGGTGATGGATTCCACAACCAGCATCTCGTGTATCAGTGTTAAATCCACTATCGACTATAACTGCATATCTCTGAACCACAGGGCTTCTTTTATAGTGGATGCGAATCAATTCGCTGTTTTAAATGACATTCGAATATTGAAGTGTCGGTTATTAGTTTTATCGAGGTTATCGATGGACATGAAACCATCGAATTACGGCTAATTTTTTGTATGCCGGTGTGTGTGTGTGCCGTAGTTTGAAGAGCGAGCAACGATGGCTGACTTCGGAGATGAAGGAGAACCTCCATCTTGTCTAGGCAACCATAATCAACACCAAAGTGTTTCATAGGTCTCAATAGGAAGGTGGATTACCACGCATTGAATATGGTATAATAATGCCACCACGTGTAGAATGATCATTTCTAAATAGAGACACACAGAGTAGGGGACGTTTGAAAGAACTTTAACCGACAGCTACCTTTTCAAAGCAACCATAACATATCCGCGACTAAATTGGAAAATGAAATTGAAATGGGAAATCAAGCTGAGGAATGCCCGAGTGCACTATTGTTGATATAGAAATCCTTTTGGGTGCGCAGTGACATCTTTGTCGATTCCTTCATGATCGACTGATATCAGTTATTTTGGGGAAAAGGCTTTGATACTTTGGCCCGTTTTTTGTGTGTTAGTATTGTGTCAGATTGTGGTTATTTTTGGGTTTAGGGTCCAGCAATTGGTCTCATTAATAGTTCTAGTGGTCCTGTTTTCTGTCCCCCATACCATTAATCGATTACAGTGATGGCTATTTCTAAATTACCAACCACAATTTTGTAACGAGCTCTGACTTGGTGATATTTTGTAGATCAAAAACGAAGCTCAGATAACAAGCATGTACCTCGTTGCGCAAACGAAACATTTTAATTTATATCTGATCCACATGATATTGTTCGTGGACTGTAAGCTCCATCTGTGAGTCATAGTCTCTTCACAAACAGGCATTGATGTTTACAGAGAGTAAGAATAAGCTCACTGTATCAACCTGTCGATAACAATGGATCAACCTTTTTGAATGGCAGATTAATTCGAAAAACGTATCTCAATCGGTAATTTACTTTTCTAAATAACACGCCTTTTGATGTAAAAGTAAGAGCTGTTGTTTGGCCCTTCTCGTTGAAGCAGGTCTGTTATTCAAGCAAGTAGAGTCGTTTTTTGTAGCCTGCCCACACTTTTCAGCCAGTCAAAACAAACGATCGATTGATCATTGTTAATGGTCATTTTCTTCTACGTTAAACTAGAACCCAATACCTCAGCATTTAAATCAATTTGTTTTGCATAATTTGATTTCCCAACATTTTTAGTACCCTTATCTTCACCATAGTGGCTTATGAATACACATGACTTTCCCACAACGCTTTACAAACGGAAGTGGGTTAGATCCAGCCCTAACCTCAGCAACCTAGAGATTACTGGTTGATGCTGATGCTAGCCACAAGTACGAAAAGCAAGTCACTTATGCACAGCGCTTTACCTAAAGTGACACGAACAGTTGTTTGATCTCAATTCGTTATTTGAAGAGACCAATTTTGCTATTCTTCTGTATTTGTTTAAATTATCTTGCTCACCAATTTTTCGTCTGCTGTCATTCAAGTATCTCTATCGCGCATCGGTACCATAGAGTCTCAAATATTGCATTGGACGAAGACCTTCAGCCGACGTGGAATCGAATAATCGCGCAACTGGGTGGACGTCTACCTCGGCTGTGTCTCTGTGCTCTGTCTTGTGAGCCGAACACGGAACGACCGCCGTGGATTTCGTGTGCTAATAACTGTCCATTTTATCGAAGGCCACAAGGTGAGCAATGCCCCTCTCCTCTTGCTCCTTCCATCCACATTCACCAGTCATTATCACGAGAGATTGTCGTGTTGAGTGTGCTGGATGCCCTATTCTAACATTTTGTAGTCCAAATTCTGATTTCGGAAAGTTACCCAAGCTATCAGCTGATTGAGAGTGTGTTGTTTTATTTGAAATAATGTGGAATCTCTGTGTTTGGAGTGAGTGCGTTTGTAAGAAACATTTACGAACAGTTGATGAAACCTGAGTGTGTTCGTTCATCACCGAGTACCGATCTTTAGATTATCATAGACAATTATGTGTCTCAAGTACCCCTGGTACTGTTCATTCACGTGTCTACCTCATGGTCTCATGGAAACGAGATTCATTCTTTGTTGTTCAACTGAGTTCACGAATGTTTTTCGTCAATGTGTTCTCTAAATGTTAATAGCACAGAAAAGCAAACATTTGAGCCACTATGTTTGTCAGAATCC